GCACCGGCCACAGCGCCCGCGCCGCGGCCCACATCCGCGCCGCGCCCCACCCCGCGCGGCGGCTTCAGCGGGCCCTCGCCACGTGATGCGGGCGAGCCAATGAGAAGCCAGAAATCCCTTCACCCGCCCCGCCCCTAAGGCGCCACTCTCCGGCCCGGCCCGGCCACCGTCCACTTCCACGTGACTGGGCTTACCCAATCGGAACTGCGGTACTTGCCCTTACGATCGGGGCGGGGCTCAGCAGCGCCTCCCCGTTGCCCAGCAACCACCGTCCCCAGCAACCACCGTCCCCAGCAACCGCCATCCCTAGCAACCACCGTCCCCAGCAACCACCGTCCCTAGCGACCACCGTCCCCAGCAACCACCGTCCCCAGCAACCACCGTCCCTAGCAACCACCGTCCCTAGCAACTGCCGTCCCCAGCAACCACCGTCCCTAGCAACCACCGTCCCTGGCAACCACCATCCCTAGCAACCGCCGTTCCCAGCAACCACCGTCCCCGGCAACCACCATCCCTAACGACCACCGTCCCTAGCAACTGCCATCCCTAGCAACCACCATCCCTAGCGACCACCATCCCTAGCGACCACCATCCCTAGCGACCACCATCCCTAGCGACCACCATCCCTAGCGACCACCATCCCTAGCGACCACCATCCCTAGCGACCACCATCCCTAGCGACCACCATCCCTAGCGACCACCATCCCTAGCGACCACCATCCCTAGCGACCACCATCCCTAGCGACCACCATCCCTAGCGACCACCATCCCTAGCGACCACCATCCCTAGCGACCACCATCCCTAGCGACCACCATCCCTAGCGACCACCATCCCTAGCGACCACCATCCCTAGCGACCACCATCCCTAGCGACCACCATCCCTAGCGACCACCATCCCTAGCGACCACCATCCCTAGCGACCACCATCCCTAGCGACCACCATCCCTAGCGACCACCATCCCTAGCGACCACCATCCCTAGCGACCACCATCCCTAGCGACCACCATCCCTAGCGACCACCATCCCTAGCGACCACCATCCCTAGCGACCACCATCCCTAGCGACCACCATCCCTAGCGACCACCATCCCTAGCGACCACCATCCCTAGCGACCACCATCCCTAGCGACCACCATCCCTAGCGACCACCATCCCTAGCGACCACCATCCCTAGCGACCACCATCCCTAGCGACCACCATCCCTAGCGACCACCATCCCTAGCGACCACCATCCCTAGCGACCACCATCCCTAGCGACCACCATCCCTAGCGACCACCATCCCTAGCGACCACCATCCCTAGCGACCACCATCCCTAGCGACCACCATCCCTAGCGACCACCATCCCTAGCGACCACCATCCCTAGCGACCACCATCCCTAGCGACCACCATCCCTAGCGACCACCATCCCTAGCGACCACCATCCCTAGCGACCACCATCCCTAGCGACCACCATCCCTAGCGACCACCATCCCTAGCGACCACCATCCCTAGCGACCACCATCCCTAGCGACCACCATCCCTAGCGACCACCATCCCTAGCGACCACCATCCCTAGCAACGCCCCCAGTCCAGGGCGGACGAAGGGCAGTGCTTGGACCTTGAAGCGGCCCTGAAGCCGCTGCACCTCCCACAGCAATGACCTCCCATGTTGGGGCCCCGCCAGGGGCTGCGGGGGCTGGGCCAGGTAGGTGGGCCGCGGGCGATGGGGCCTGGTGTCTCTGCAGTGCCAGTGAGATGGCCGGCCCTCGAGGAGCCGGAGTCCAGCTTGTCACGGTGTGTCAGGAGCAGAAGCAGCAAGTTAAATGCAGGAAGTACCAGCCGGGGGGGAGGGAATGCCTCTTACCTGTGACAATGGTTCGGTGCTGGGTCAGGAACCAGCCCTTCTCCTTAGAGGTTGTTGGGGTCAGGCCGGATAAAGGCCTGAGGACCCTGGTTTGACCTTGGAGCTGACCCAGCTTGGAGCAGGAGACTGGACCTCCCAACTTCTCTCTTAACCCAAATCACCCTGTGGTTCTCCAGTCTCCTCTTCACCATTTCCCCACTGCTCCCAAGTTCCTCTTCCATATGAGCCTTGTTCGGGGCCTGTTTACAAATACTAGACAATCCAGGCCACAGCTCTGTTTATTTTTGAGCTCTCTAAACCCACTCTTGAGTTCTCTGGGGCTTTCTCTTTGCTTCAAAAAGAACCACTAAATTTTACTGTAACCAGAGTACCCCAACGTAAACAATCCTAATCATCAATATCCCTTTTCTTCCTTACTTCCAAAGGCAAACCTTATCTTTCTCAGTGCTTTTCTTTCCAAACACTGTCTCCCTTTATTCTCAGTGCCAATGCTCTTCCCTTTCTTTACCAGTGATCCAAGTGAGCACTTTGAGCGGGGACCTGTCCAAACCTCCAGATCTTGCCATGGCTGTTTACATCTGTTCTGTCAGTCTTGCTTCAAATCCATAACTCACTTAACATTTCTCTTCCTTCTGACTCCCATCTTGTCACACAATAGCTCGCTTTAGCATGGTATTTTTCCCTGGTTTTCCCCACTTCTGGATGAAATAAAAGATTTGTTCCTTCGACTGGCAAACACTTAGTTCATACATGTTTTACCTGTGACAGTCCTGCAGCCTAAAGCTCACTTGCAGCACTTGGCTCTGCTCCTTGTAACCACATAGGAAGGGAAACATCAGTTTAACCTTGAGTTGCTTCCCAATAAGAACTAAAGTTTCCTAAAGGTGAGTGCTCTGTCTGTGCGTTCCTGCCCCACTGCTGCATCGTCTCCTCCCTGGGTCAATGATTTTCTGCTTAGGTGAATAATTAGGAACTAAGAAAATACCCTTTTTTGTGCTTAATGCAATTTTTTTACACCTTTGGGAGCACAAAAGCTTTTTTAGGGCTCTGACCAGCTGGCACGGGCTTTCCAGCCAATGTTTCCTTAGTTGGTGAAATAACTGAGATGGTGTGTGGTATTTCTCATCAAATGAACCCTGGTAATTTTGTCCAAGCTTGCTGGCTTGGTTTTGTGTACACAGGCCAGTATTTAGAGCTGTGACTTTACTGAAATCCTGTAAAGTGACAAAACTGTAATATCTTAACAGTCTTATGAAGATTTCATGTGAAGTAAGGAACTCTGAATGATCTGAGGTTCATGCTATCGAAAGCACATGACTGTCCTTTGCCAGTTCAGCTGCAATGTTGTCCAGGCAGCTCGTGTACTGGGGACAAATTTCAAAGACTGTTTCACGGTTCAGGAGGAAATGTCTTTTATTTTACAGGTTTGGTCCTTGTTTTGGGTGAGAGTGGTCCCAGCCTAACAGATTTGTTGGTGGAGACGTAGGGACATAGACTAGGGACAGAGTTTAGTCCCTGAAGTGCTTGTAAAGTGAATGACTCACACATTTTGTCAACCTATTTCTTCTTTGATTCGGTTTTCCTTGGAAAACTGTCTTTTATCTTCTCCTTTCCCAGCGCCTTGATTGAGCTGGGAAAGATCTTGGTTTTGAATTTTCAGCCTGACCTCATGAAAGTTCGGAATAGCTCTCTCCCTCAGAAATTCTGGATGTTAAAGGTATCTTTTCCTTCTTGGAGTTCTGTGGAGTAAGAGCTGTGGTCCGTTGGGGCCCGTTGTGGGTGCACAGAGGCAGTGAGCTTTGCCTGGGTTGTGATGGGGACTGGGAGTTGCCCCAAGATATAAGTGCTGCAGAAAATACCTCCATGTTCCTCAGAATCCCTTGTGTAGTGCTGCGGGGCTTACCTCAATGGGCTCATGCGGGAGGGCCCAGTCTGAGGGGGAGCTGGGGTCCATGGAAGGCAGGCTGTGTGACAGAGCTCATGTGTGGTGGCTGCGGAGGGTATCGGGGCACGTCCAACACCACACTGCTGTCAGACATCGCTGTAGCAACGAGAAGCATCTATCAGAGGTTCGCTGTAGCAACGAGAAGCATCTATCAGAGTAATGGGCCCAGTAATGGGCCAAGGTCTGGCTGAGGCTACAGAGACTGAAACCTGTCTCCTCACTGGGGAAAGCCCAGGTTGGTTTGCAGCCTCCTGTCTGCGTGTTCCTTTGGTGCTTTTTGTGCCCGTGTGCTCTGGGTGAGGCACGTGGCCTGTCCCGGTGTGGTCCTTAGCCCCATCCTCCTGCCAGAACTGATGGGGGCTGCCCGCAGAGACCACCAGTGACCTGGGAGTCGGGCTCAGTCCAAACTCCTGCACCAGGAGGGGTGCGAAGCCCAGTACAGCTCTGGGAGCAAGTGGGGCTACTGGAACTGGTCTCCCAGCCCATCAATAAATCCTAAATTACAGTCTAATTCCCCCAAAATGCCTTATCTTTCCAGCCTGCGAAGCTCCCCTGCAGTAATCAGCCCCAGCTTGGACAGTCATTATAAAATCAGCGTTGCCTCAGGGTTGTGGGGAAATGCACCCCATCTGGGCCATTAATCCTTAAATAACAGAGTTAATGCAGAATTTGGTTAACTAACCCAGCTGGAGCGATAACATCAGCCGTGCCACAGGAGAGATTTAAAAGCAATGTCCCGACAGATACTGTGAACAGACAAAAGGGGGGATGTTTATCTCTGAGACTTTCCCAAGAAGATACTGATGCCTTGATTTGTTTGCTAAGAGGGACTGTATCTTACACGGATCATCCGTTATCCCCTATACAGTCTGGAGTTTTATTAGAAAAGCAGGTTTACACATAGATTAAAGATGGCAGAGGACAATATGAAGAGTTGAGGTGGGTCAGTGGCCCACTCAGGCTTCTTGTGAAATTTGTTGCTTGCAGGGATAACCAGTCTGGCCAAGATAAGAAGCAAGATTAGTGGAAAATAGAAGACCTTGAGGGCAAAGCAATAACCACAATATACTGGCCTTGGGCAAAGGGACTCTCCCAGAGACACCGAGGAGCAGGAGAGGGCACTCTGAGGGACAGGTCTGTCCTGCATCATGGAGCTGTGGCACTGCAGGAGACCAGTGGCTACGCAGAGATGG